TCCTGCCTTAGCCTCCTGAGTGATTGAGATCATTACACCTGACCCCCAATTTTTTAAAGATAGAAAAAGAATAAAATTATTTCATTTAATCTTAAGAAGGGGATTTCAGCCAGGCACCGAGCCAGGTGGCTCATGCATTTGTAATCCTAGCACTTTGAGAGGCCAACGTGGGAAGATTGGCTTGAGCCCAGGAGTTGGAGGGTATAGTGAGCTATGATGCTGCTGCTGTACTCTAGCTCAGGCAACAGAGGGGGAACCTTATCTGAAAGAAATTAAATAAATAGGGCAGCGCCTGTGGCTCAGTGAGTAGGGTGCCGGCCCCATATACCAAAGGTGGTGGGTTCAAACCTGGCCCCAGCCAAACTGCAACAAAAAAATAGCCGGGCGCTGTGGTGGGCACCTGTAGTCCCAGCTACTCAGGAGGCTGAGGCAAGAGAATCGCCTAAGCCCAAGAGCTGGAAGTTGCTGTGTGAACTGTGATGTCATGGCACGCTACAGAGGGCGACAAAATGAGACTTTGTCTCTAAAAGAAAAAAAGAAAATAAATAAAAATAAGGGGGATTTCAGACTTGAGGAAATGTACTTTGCTCTTGGAAAAATAAATGAAAGCAGCTTTGCAAAGGAAACTAAAGACAGACAAACTGCTGGTCAGTTAGGAGCCCCTTCAGTTCTGCATATTGCTGTGGCCCTGGCATTTTCTTCATCTCTAGGTGCTAGAACATACGATCACCTCAAGAAGACACGAGAGGAGGAGCGCCTTAAACGCACCATGCTCTCTGAAGTTCTCCAGTATATCCAGGACAGTAGTGCTTGCCAACAGTGGCTCCGCCGGCAAGCCGACATGTGAGTAGTTTCTCCAGCGTGATGGTGGTACTCCTCCTTCTGGGATGCTTTGGCCTTCACATGTATTTTTGGACACCTCTGTGGGCATCCTAAATGGCAGAATAATAATTGGGTAGCTAGAAGAATTCAGAAGGAACTAAGAAACAGTGTGGTACTGACGATTTTGAGAGTGATAGCTGGCTTCCTAGGATCATACTTTGCTACTTGAGCTTATTTGTAAAAATGACTGAATTTCCCCCAGAGCCTTCTCTCCCTCTCCATATCTACTGGTTTGATTTTCTTTTTTTTTTCTTTTTCTTTTTTTTTTTTTTTTGAGACAGAGCCTCAAGCTGTC